AGAGCGTCTCTCACTCACATTCGACAGAACTTATTCAAGATAATTCAGCATAATGGGAATTCAGTTCAGTAAAACACTATTTTAGAAGAATCCTTACTGATCAAGATCATGAATATACTCTTCTTCAAGGCAGACAAAATCATTAGACAAGCAAAATTTTAGAGATAAAAGAATAACAAATACGTAAAGATTTTTCAGAAGTTTCTTCCAGGTAGGCTATTTTACAAGCATAAAGATTATCAAGTAAATTCTATTAACAAAATTCTGGGTTCAATCTGCCCTCAAACTCTAGAGCTTAGTTCTCTGCACCTGTGGTATTTATAATCTATGATGTGAAAGAGGATGGAACCACTGCCAGTGGGCTCAAATTAGAGGGAAGTGATTTCAGTTTAAAAGGAGCTGTCCAATAATCAACAGGATGAACAGAAGGAAAGTGTTTGAGACTATAAAACCATGTCTCAAGGATGTTAGGGATAATATATGGCAGACAGTTACAGTAGAACTTCATGACCTGTAGAGAATTGTCTAGTTCCCTCTCCCAACTTCTGGCATCCACCTTTACACTCGTTCATCATGTAAAAGCCCCAGAGTGCAACCAATAGGATGGATTTTTAACACCACATACATCATGCCAACGACAAAGACTTAACAAATATATACTTAAGGGGACTGTAGTGATTTGTTCACCTCAATAATTGATGTTTGGATTAAAATCTTCAAGTTACAAACATACCTCGTTTTATTGCGGCTTTGTTTTATTGTGCTTCACAGGTGCTGATTTAAAAAACAAACAAACAAACAAAAAACTGAAAGCAAGACCCTCCACCAGCAAAAGATTACAACTGCAGTACTCGTTTTATTAGGGTGGAACCTAACCCTCAATATCTCCAAAGTATGCCTATATATTTTGAAAGGCATACAAAGAGCCTGAAACAGTGAACACCCAACACCAAATTGAAACTATACAACGAATTAAGGTTAACAATACCAAATCCGACTGGTTTCAATTCATATAAAAGCACAACGGAAAACACACAGAAACCCTAAAGAGGTACCCTAAGTGGGAGCCCTCCTGACTCAAAGCACCTGAACGAGTTCAGCCAGTGAGTGGAAGGGGCTGAGAATAATGGGTGTGTGCAGGCCACCCAGAGAGTGCTCAGGCAGGGGTGCACGCATGCCTGACCCTTGAACGTCAGGAGAGATCTGGCGCTGGGGGAGTTGGGCCGACGCCCTGGTGATGCCAAGGGAACCTTGATGCTTGGCCCCTCCCAAACACTATCCAGTCTGCCTTCTCTAGCCCGTTGTGCAGATATGTAAGTGGGGACTGAAGATTCCCGTAGTCACCCCTCCCACGAGCAGCGTTCTCCCTACTCATAGCGGTGATGCCAGGAGCTGGCGTGCGCTTACCTTCGGGCGCTGGTGGCGGCTCCTGTCGCTTTCCGCGGGACAGGAAGGCCTTAGGCAGCAGCAGCGACACAGCCAGGACGAGCCCAGAGGCCAAGGCCACCCTCTGGACGGTGGAGTACGCCATGACCGCTCGCCCTCGCCGCAGGTGCAGACGCGAACCGGAACCGGAAGAGCAGCGCCGGGGCCTCCTGCGGGCGAACCTCGGGCTGCGCCGACGGCGAGCGCGAGGGACAAGCGCGCGAGGCACCCGCACCTCTCGTTGCGCGGTGCGGGACTGGCCCGCTCCTCCCGCGAGGTTTCACTGTAAACAGTACCCGTGCTCTCCCATTAAGTACAAACTAGAAACTCCTCCCCCTCCCTCCCCGCCTGCACGTGTGCGTTCAGCCACCTAAATAACCCACACTGGTGCCCTCTCCACCATCGCTCACGATGCACCCCAGACCACGCCATCAATTACTTCAACGAACTCAGTCTTCCAGTTTCCACCCATGTCCCTGGCATCTACTTCCCCAGCATATTCCCTCCTTCCAGGGAAGCTTTCCTTGTCCTGTCCCCTCTGCATGGAAAATTTCCAAAGCCATCTCCACCTGTTAAAACTCATCCGAAGAACAACTGAAAAATACTACCACCGTGAAACTTTTTCAGCCAGCTTCTCCTTTCTCTGTATCCCCACAGTTCTTCTTTACTGTCTTTATTCATTTATTTGATAAACATTCTTTTAGTTCAAACCCTGAAGTGGCACTGCAGTATCTGATGAGTAAGATGGGTTCCCTTATGGGGTAAATGGTTATCTCAAGAATATGCAGGAAATATTCTGGACTCTGGAACAGTCAGCTCAACTGGAAGGAGGAGGAGTCAGGAAAAGTTCCTGATAGTAGGTGAAATTTGTATGAGTTTTTGAAGATCTGAGTGAGTTTCTGAAGAATGAGTAAGTTACTAGGCAGACGGGTGGGAGGAGTTAGAAGGGTATTTCAGAGGAAGGATGCAAAGAAAGCAAAGGCATGAAAGCTTGAAGCTTCCTAGTGTTCCAAAAACTAGTATTAGTAATTCATTTTGGTGGGCCATAAGGTTGGTGACAGGACGTAAAGTGATAACACTACACATACAAGCAGGAGCTAGATTGTGAGAGCTTGGATATGACTTCCAGTTAAACAAAGCAGATGATACACCCATCTTTGTTTTTGTGAGACACCTCACAAAAATGAAACTAAAGAGATAAAATGTATCAACTACAAGACTAAAGAGAATGGAAAGAAAACATGACAGCAGCCAAGAAATGTAATTTATTTATTTTATTTTAGTATTTTCGCTATATGGGCATTAATTGTTATTAAATTAATTTCTATTTTCATTATTAATTTTTCTTCCTACTTTTCTCAGGATTTCTGTAAGATGCAATATTATCCAATAGAAATATAATTTGTCATATGTAATTTAAAATTTTCTAGTAACCACATTAAAGTGGAAAGAAACAAGTAAAATTAAAAATATATTTTATTTAACCCGATATACTCAAAATATAATCAGTTCAATATGAGTAGCACTAGTCAATCACATTTCAGTGGCTTCATAACCACTTGTAAGTATTGTCTACCACATTGGAAAGTGCAGATGTAGAGCTAAAAAATGAAGTGTCTACAGAAGGAAAGCCTCTAAGAAGCAAACTAAATTGCCCCTCAGAACCTATAAAGTCTTTGGAATAGGAGGTACCGAGTTCCTTTAAAGGCAGAGATAGTCTTTATAAAGGGACTGAATAAAGGACTGGTTGAAAGTCTGGTTAAGAATCCGTTGATAATCCTCAAAATCTTGTTCAATTACTGCAGCCAGGTGATTTCCCCTACTGGCATCGCTCAGACATCATCATCATTGATATCAACATCACAAACTTATCGAGCACTATGTTCCAGGATTTTCATATATCATAATTGTTTTTCCTAACAACTTAAAGAAGTTAGCAATATTATACACCCATTTTGCAGATGAGAAAACCAAGGAACAGAAAGCTTAAGTAACTTGCCAAAAATTATGCAGTATAAATTGGAAGCTATTATTTGAACTCAGGTGTGCTTACTCCAGGACCTGCCCTCTTCACTACTAGTTATACTCTCTGGAACCAGAGAAGCTCTAGACTCATGGATAAAAGGTGCAGCTTAGGGAGGTGGTGACTGATGAGATATGACTTCTAAGAGGTGCAGAGTAATCTGGGGTGATTCCTCCCCAATTCTGGCTTGAATGGTTAAACATTGATCCCACATAACAGGATTTTGAGAACAGAAGAATGAGGTTTGTAAAGATAGTAAGATAGTAAGTTCAGATTTTGAGTAGCTGAATTTGAGGTTCCATGAAATATCCATGTAGAGCTATCCAGTTGGATGTATGGATCTGAGGCTCAGAAGAAATGTTTGGGCCGGAAACAAATGTGGAGATGATCCACACATCAATAGTAATGAAGTCTGGGAAAAGATAATATGAGCAAGATTGCTCAAGAAAACTGATGAGGCCACGATAGAAAACTACGTTACTATGTTACACCATCATGTCGAAGTTCCCAAGTATTAAGACAGAAATGCAACAGAAAAGAGAGTGACCAGGTATGAAAGTCTTGAATAAATGAGGAGTTATTTGGAAGATTGGAAGGTGACAGGAACAAAAGGTGTAATGAGCAGCCAGATGACATGCTCTTCTATGCCATTGTCATTTGTTTTCATAGTAGTTATAGCAGCAGCTCATAGGCACACTTCTAAGTGCTTTACATACACAAATGCATTGATGATAATGCAAAACTTCTCAAATAAATGCCAGCAGTTACTAGTAACTGCTTGATTTAATGCTATTTTTTGTCATTCTACACTCAGAACAAATCTTTTTCTCTTACCTGCAGTCTCACTGTCACAGAACTTGTAAATTGCTCCCCAGCAGCTCTCACCTATGTTGGTGGTGTTCCTATTCCCAAGCTAAATGCCTTCTCAACACTCCTGATTTACCTCCTCTCTGCTTTCTTGACACCCATCTTCAAGACAGAAACAAACTGCTCACAGGCCATAAGGCCCAGGAAGGAGAACCTTTCTTCTTCTGGTGTGCAGTAGGCAGCAGAGAGGGGCGCTCCCAGCCTGAGGCCCCAAGGAGTAGGGGAACTTTGCTTGCCTCCTTCTTCCTGGAATGCATTTCTATTCTACCTTGTAGTGACCAGCAGGGCTCTCTGATATAAGGCCCTTGAGGACCTACAGCTGGAGCCACTTAACTGCAGCTGCTGCCAACTGAGCGGGGGTCCCTGAACTCTTCCTCCAAGAATGGCATCGAAAGTCACTCATTGTGCAGTTGGCATATGTAGAGTCATTGATCATAGTCTGACCTTTAGCTTAATCTCAAATAGGCTGTTGACTTACTTCTGTTACTTATATTAATGATTCTCAAACTTGATGTTTTCTGATGACAGATCTTAAGTCCAGAAAGCACAGTAAGCAGAAGGTTTGGGAAATTAGAGAGGGGTAGGAGATGGAGTCAGAGTAAAATGTGTACTGAGCAGTAAGGCCATGTGAAGATGGATGATCTGGGAGGCTTGGACTTTGGATGGTAGTCAAGGTGATTGGGCAGGGGTCATGATCACATTAGTCCTGGAAGTGGCCCAGAGCAAGGAGGAGACACAAAGTTACAGTCGAGCGTATTTAGCTGGGGCCAGATTAATTGTTGTAGCCAGGTGGGGCGTGGGCCTGGAGGAGACAGGGGCCTTCTTTAGGGGATAGAGTTGTTAGGCAGCTCATGGAGCTGGGGAAGCTTGGGGTAGAGCCTGAGATGGCTGCCCTCTGGTGGCTGGTGGTATTGTGGGAGAATTATGCATGATTCAAGACCTTGAAAAATTCAAGTCTTATCCATGAAGTGAGGGCTCAGGTTTCTCAATTAAATACTGGTGGAGAACTGAGATCAGAAATCTGGCAGCTATATGCTAAAGACAAAATGAATGACAGGAAGTAAAGATGGCAAGTACAGCTTGCACTGCATGCAGCTTGCATGGAAAGAAAAGATGAAAGGTAACATGATAACTGTACCTGTCTGGGTTTTGAGAGAAGCTTGTTATTTTCTAAATAAAGAAGAGGCTTGAGTATGTTTATACATTTAGGGGGAAGAAATTAGAAATGGAAAGATGGAACATATAGGAGCAAGGGGACCAGTTTTGAAGCAAAGCCCAGATCTGGAACAGACTTAAGGAACAGACATTAAGAACCCAGCAGTAGGGATCAGCTTAGTGGAAAAGAAATGGAGTGAGTTCAGGCATGTGTAAAAGGAATGGTGTAGGAACAGCAAAGCAAGGGGGTTCATTCTCATTGCTTCAGTCTTCCTGGCAAAGGATATGGTCAGGCCATTATCTGAAAACAAGCAGGGTCGGAGAGGACTTGTTGAGTGTGGTGAAGGTTTGGAAATAGGATAAGAGGTGTTCAGAAACCATTCCAGCTTGGCAAAGAGGTTCCCTTTGAGGCTTATAGACAGCCAGGAATTTCCTGTTCTCTCTCCCTCTCTGGAGACCAAGAGCACTTTCCAAGCTGCACATTCTGGGCAGCACCTGGCATCCCAAAGCAACCTCTGAGACTGGCAGCCTCCAAGGGACCCATGGTAGAAGAACAAAGGTAGAAGGGAGACTGGAGAGGCCCTTGGAGATCAGTTAGCTAAGCTGCCTTGTTATTGGATCAAAGGGAGAACCGAGGTCTGCAAAGGAGTAAGGATTTGCCGTGGATAACCCTGATAATTAGTGGCTGCACCAGGATTGAAACCCAGGTCTCCCAATCCTCAGTCTAGGCTTCTCTTCGTACTTCACACAGTCCCCGCAAAGTCTGTCAGTTCTTTTCGGCAGTAATGAAGAAATTGTCTTCAAAAGTAACAGCTAGACCCTTTATTTGCTGAATTGAAGAAATCTGTTGCTTTCCTGTGCCCTTTTCCTATCTGACAGCCTTTGTGGAAGTGCCTCAGAATGTTGATCACGGTGAGTTGGAAGACTTGGTCCATGCAATCAACTCTAATTTCAAAATTTCTTTAACATCTGGGCACTGGTTGAATTTTTAAGGGGGGAGGGGACTGAGGGAAATGTAATTCAAGGCATTTACTTATAAATAATTATGAAGTGAATTTCCCCTAAGATAC